TACTTTGACAAAACACAGTTTGCCGAATGCCATTTTACTGACCCAAGCTTATGAAAATCCAATTTTCCGAAACCTAGTTTGCCGAATTTCAACCCGCTATAAAACAGTTTGTCGAATGCACCGTCGTGAATAGAAGTGAAGAACAAAGAGGTGCAGCCTACTGTGCTTTGGTCATTGGCGTATCTAGGATATTTGACATAAGGATGGGTCTGATGGGGCCTCGAACTTTAAGTGGGGCTGCCACAAGAATGTGAAATGAGGTCATTTTTAGCAACTTTATTGTCAATAAAACTGCGCTTTTTTTTGTGTTTTTTTTAAAACACTAATAAAGCATGTAAATCAATAACAAATGTTAGAATAGTGCAACAACAAAATAACAATGCGATCAACATGATAAACGTGTGACAAGTTGGGAGGCATGAGGGCATAATTAGAACTGAATGGTGGTAGAACTGAACAAAAAGATCACGGGCATGGAACGCAGGATTAAAGATCAGAAAGTATCAAAAGGCGTGCCCATTCAAAAAGCGATATAATTAAAACGGATTGGACAGTGCTATAGTGGGTAATGGTAGTACGTAGTATGATCTGGGTGGTAACTATAATACTCTGGAGAAGTCCTTGGGCTTGTATAGAATATAGAAGTGGATACCGGCCCAGGTAAGCTTCAATAACACCCAAAGAATGAGATGCGAGTAACAGTTGTTTTTAATCTTAGTCTCTGCAAACTGTTTCGGCTATCTGGGATTTACAATTTTTTGCGTTTGGCAATTTAATATTCGGCAAAAATTCAGCAAAGTGGACTTGGCAATCTGGAATTCGGCACACTGGGTTTCCTTTCGGCAATCTGGACTGGATCCGTTGGACAACACCCTCCTCAGCCTCACAAACTGGAGCTGAGGTTAACGTTGTTAGGTTACTTCTCACCATGATGCCAAAAAATGTCACTCTCAGGCCAGCTGTCTGTATTAGAAAGTTATTTTAATTTTTCCCAGAGAGCTGTTACCACGACTCCTCACTTCTTCACGACTGTAATTATGTTACCCAAGTTAAAGATTGTATGGAAACACAAAAAATTATTCAGATCTCAACTCATGTCTTTTTTAGGATTTTCTCAAATGTCAAATCCACAGTCTTACTATTCAATTTTCAGTCAAATTCTCAAGAGAATGCAAAAGCGAGCTTAACGACAAAATTAATAACTCAGAGGAAATTTACTGTAAAACCCCTTCCCAAATTCTGTTAGACCAAATTCAAACGAGCAAAATGAAGCTGGAAGAGATTTACAGTTTAAAAACAAAGGGTACAATGATTAGATCACGGGATAAGTATGTAGAAGACGGAGAGAAAAATACGCGGTGCTTTTTCAATCTTGAAAAAAGAAATCATCGACAGAAACTCATAACTAACTTATTAATGACCAAAATTGTGCCCTCACTAATTGTAGAGACATTCTGGGGGAAGAAGAGAAATTTTATTTTAAAAAACTCCTGTAATCCCCCGGATTGCAACATTGATACTTTTTTGCCTCCTAATGTAAATGATTTTAGTAAGTTGAGCGACGAGCAACAGCACTCCTGTAAAGGGTTATACTTTTGAATGAATCTCTTAAGTTTTAGAAAACCAATATGTGTACTTTTTTCGATACTGGCCAGAAACAGTTTCCCATTTATTCTGGGATTGTAACATCTGGACTAGATAATTACTACTATATTTTGGTATGATGTTTAGAGTATTATTTTCAAAAATCCGTTGGTTTTATCTTAGTTGCCTAAGAATTGATGATGTTGTGCTCATAAATAAAAAAGACACTGTTCAGGATACAACGTAAAGAATATATATATATATATATATATATAGAACTGGAGGTCGCTGGAACAGAATGTTGCTACTCGGAGTTTCACGCTATTGCGATCGTCAGGCAACTGATGAAAGGTGAACGTAGCTGTCTCTTATACACATCTAGATGTGTATAAGAGACAGCAGGTGAACGTTGTGGGGTGATGTGACTTGCTTGTGCGGACGTAGTATGAAGTTAGGTTATTGCGGACGTCGGAGTAGCTGTTCGGAGGTAGTGCTTGTTTTCGTGGCAGCATTTCGATACAAGTTCTGACCTTCAGATCCCTCTTCTTTAACATTCAAAAGATTTATTTATATATATTTTGTATTATTTTTTCATAAAACTGATTTTTCAAAGTTACTTCAATATATAATTTTTTTTGTCTAAGAAGATTTTGAACCACTATTAGTAGTCTGGAAGGACTAGATGGAAGTGACTTAAAAATTGGACTATCAACTAATCAAATCAATTCCCTTATTCCCAATTTACCATTTCCTCTCTGCTAAGTCCCTTCTTTGTCTAACTTCCTGCATCCAAAACACATACATAGCTCTTGCACTCACCTAAAGACCTTTGGCTTTGTCTTTAACAATCCTTAGCACATACACATAATAAATATAGAAGGGGCTACAGGTCATGGGGAGGGGGAGTATGATTTGTGTTATGGAGATTGCCTGATCTATAGTCAATACACCTTTTGGCTTATGCAAGCAATTATTCCCTACCACTTGCCAGTTATACCTACATTCTACTGAGCAAACAACTATTTTGGCATCCACCTATATTCCTCAGAAATACACTTAAATATATTATGTACTTTTTACAAATAACCATCTTATACTCTCCAAAATAACCACATTTACCCCTCATCTGTGCCCAGATGATCACTTATATACTCCTATATACCAACTTATTATCCTTTCACATACCGATATATTAATTTTATAGCCTTTCCTCATGTCCATGTTACCCCCCAACATAGTCCCCTATGGATATCCCTCCTACTACCTACTCCCACATATCCACACATTAGCCATATCTTAGCCACATACATGGACATCTTATTCTCTTCCTTGCCTATCTATAACCGTAGTTACCAACCGTCTCGCATCGTGTGCGATGGTCCCTCATTTCAAAGTGATTTTGGATGAAACACACATTTTTCAGAAACAATGCATGGTCATAAATTTGTCATGCATTTAGCTTAAGTCTATGTGTGATAAAGAATTACTACCAATTAAAAGGAAAATGTATTTAAAATTATAATAAATTAGTTTCATTAAAAATATAAAAACAGTCGTGCAGTAACTTGAGTCACAGAGAGCTTTGATCGTTTGTGTACATAGTTTGTGTGGACAATTAAACATACATTGAAACTTAAATTGTACATGGCTATATCAAAAATATTTTTGTTATGTACCCGGTATTGTCAACAGACAGCTTAAAATACTCAGGCCGTCCCCTGGACCCTCACGGGGTTCTGCCCCACGGCCCCAGTGGGGACACGCCCCCCGCAAGTTGGTGTAGTCACGCATTTCAAATTTCTCAGGTTGCCAACTATGCCTATAACTATATTGATCTTTGACATGACCAAATTAATAATACACCTTCTTTTACCATATAACGCTATTACATACCCACATACATTATGGCCCTAATACATTGTTAATAAAGAATTGTAGGATTTTTCTTCAATAAATAAATAAAACAACTTAAAAACCATCTGTTTTAGGGGAAGAAAATAACCTTTTGAAAGTGAACATTATTTTAGAAAACTTTATGAAGTATAATGAAGCATTACATTGATAAACAGCAAGGTACTTTTATATGTCTATTCCATTGTTAATGTTGTTGACAATACTGTGTATTGTATATATTATAGTACATTGACTAATTGGCCCTATAATAGCAAAGTGTGAGTAGTGTCATAAGAAAGTATAATACATACTCCAAGTATTGAAATGCACGCCATCGTGTTGGGATTCACATGCAATCAACTTTAAGCTGGCTGTATTATTGTGTTCTTCACCTCATCAGCATATGAAAGCTTTGCAATTCTTTTTGTAGAGTTCTGTGTGATGTAAGCTTTTAGTAACAGACTTGCTATGTTGCTTCTGTGTGATTTTCATATTGGCCAGTGGCTCTCATTTGAGTGAGCACCTATAAGACCCTTATTTTTTAGGCATGCCATCCCAAAACCATACAGTAATTATCATTTTAATGTGTTGAAATTGCTTACATACTTTGAAATTGTAATGGAGGGAACATAATTGTTGACTATGCTGGATTGTAATGACTTGGCTCATTTTTTGATACAACATTAGATTAAATAAAGATTATTCCTGCACCACCAATACTTTGGAGTGTCTGAGGCAAGTGAAAGATAGGTATTAAAACACTTTGGCTGGTAGGGGCGGGAGGGGTGCTTTGAGAAGCAATGTATTTGAACCAGAAACTCCATGATCGTTATAGTTCAGTGCACACACCTATCTGTTTAGTTAGCTGAGTGCCTTCTCATTTTATACAGCCTATAATTTGACATTTTTTACCTAATTCCAATCTTCCACCATAAAATTCTGTCTACCAAATAAGTTTACTTTAATTCTTTCACATGATCTGACCTCATGTTACTTTGCTTTTTCTGATCTTTTAAGCTACATGTTAATCTTTATGTTAAAAACATAAACATTCAACAGAACTGTATTTGTATTGCATGTGAGTATGTGAAGGCTTGAGTGTTTAGTTTACATGCAAGCAAACAAATTCTATAGAGACCATACACATTTTGTACAGTGGCGAATCCAGAAATATTTTTCGGGGAATGCAAGTTGCACTCAAGGACCAAGGGGAAGGTTTCCTATACCTATTGTTGGGGTCCAGCCCCCCCCCCCCCTGGAAGCTCCATAGTTTTATAAACTTTTAATGTTATATAATTTCACACTTGGTTGAGGTTGGGGGGCTATGAGCGCTCCTTTTGCTAGTCTCTATATCTGCCACTCTCTGTATCTACCACTGTTATATTGTATTATATGTGTTTAATTATAACAAAAAATATATATATTGTATATCATTATAGTTATATAATCTGAAATCATGTAAATTTGGAATATTTTAGCATAGATAAATAAAGATTGACACAATTTGAATAGACATTTGCATATTTTGTTTTATACACATTTGTATTTATTCACCTTCTTCTCACACTCTCACTTGTTGAGTTGATTAATATATATTTCTTACTGATTTGTTTTTCGAAGAAATCAATAAACATCTTGAGAACAAATAATTCTCTCCTTATTGAGAAATTTTTAAACAAAGTGTTTTTTTTTGTACAAAAATATCAATTAAGCACGTCTTGATAGATATAAACTGTAGCACCAATGATAATTAAAACAAAACGTTGATCGTATCTCCACGGAAGACAAAAACAAAAATTAGTGACTTTCAGAGCAAGAAATCATAGTAGTGATGAAAAAGATTGCGCTTTCCCGTTAGAAAAATTAAGTCCAAGTACTGAAGGAATTTTAGTGAAAGTATTCTAGGAAGACACTGGCGGTACAATAACTACATCACCACCGGTCGTTGGTCTCCAGATTAAGCTTTGTGCGTTATTTGCATTTGGCGCTCGTAGCGATTCTGGTGGAGCAACTTCATTTTGCCACGATTCTAGAATAACAGGTTGCTCCTGTATTTTAGGTTCCAAGAGCCGTGCTCGTTTTCCGAGCGGTTGTGTACCGTCCACGGCTATATTAATTTGCATCCTCCATTTTACAGTCCGGAGAACAAATTTCTGTCCAGTAGTTTGATTTATAGCCACAAGCCAGACGGTAAAACTTTGATCTCGGGCCAAGCGAGTCAATTTCACCTGGTGACTATTACGTACAGGTATATCCCAGGTGATCGATGGGTGGAAATTATCATTCATCCTAAGGTTCAAATTTGTCCAACAGTTTGTCGGTCCTGAGGCAGTGGCAACCTCGGTTGTGCACCCGTACCAGGGGTAGTGTTTCCCATCCGAATCACTCACAAAACGCTGTTGGCCTGTCTTCAATGCTGGTATTTCCCAGCTTGATCTAAAAAAGATTAAAACAAATTTTTAAAATTTAAGATAAATTAATTAAAAATACATACATATAGTGCTGTTTATTATACTTTTATGGCTGATATAAATGAATCATTTTATATGGGAAAAAAACAATGAATTTGAAGTTAAATTTTAATTTTACATTAATTATTCTGTGTGCGTTTTTATGAGATATGTAGAGACGCAGAAATTGAAACGTTTTCATATTGTGTTAGGTAATTATTAATATTAGGTGGACTGTTATTTTGATTTATAATTACATAACCTCTGGATTTCTATTATTTGCTATTATAATATTGTCATAAACATCATCATTATCACATCCTCGTCGTCGTCATCGTCTTCATCATCGCCGTCATCATCATATCCTCATCACCATCATATTGTCATCATCATTGTTATAGTATTAGGGCCTATTATTATTACTTCTATTAATATTATTAATTATATTGTTGCTATTAATATTATAATTTTCATTATATTTTATGATTACTATTTGAAGAAAAAAGGTTGACAGCAATTAGTTTATTGAGTTGTAAAATTTGCCAGCCAATCACAGCCAAATGTACTCATTTAAGAAAAGGCAATACACAAGTATCGAGGTAGTTAAACATTTTGGGGCGGCAATAAACTAAAATCAAGTTTATTATCATTTTTAATTCCAAATTATGAAGTGTCATCTAGTTTCTTTGAATTAAATTGATGATGTAAACAGTACTTCCTTCGTTATTGACGTTTGCCAACAATACAATGGCAGAACAGAAGTTGATGTTAACACATTTCCTTGAGTGGCCAAGAAAAACTATCTTTGACCTTACAGTAGCTTTTTGGGCAGAATGGCGGATGTGCATAAACATGAACCCAGTACTTAGTTATAGAAGTGATTTATGATTCATCTTTGTATTAATTGAATATAGAAGTACACCAATGGGCGGGTGGGTAGATGTAACACTGAATTAATTATTTATCATTTAATACTTTTTTATACGAAGATAGTCCTTACTGTAAAGCTGACTTCAAAATAGGGCATGATCAAATTAAAGAGAAACAAAAATCATAATGTATTATTAAAAAGAGGAAAACCAGTTTAATAAAGATTCTATATAGAACGTTAAACTTGATAGTAACATTGACACTATAAAAAGCTATCCCTAGTTTTACAATACAATTATCATGAACTATTTATTTTATCATCATTGTCTATTGATCTGATTCTATAAACATCATTAAAGATACTGTAGTGGTAAAGAGTGAAGCAGGTAAGAATGAAGTGAGAGCATTAAAAGAAAGTAATTATTTTATGTGAAAGAGTACAAAACAAAGGTATTGTGTTGGAAAATAGATAAACCATTTTATCAAGTATGGGATTGTTGTTTAATAAATGAAATGATGGAGTTAGAATAGATGTACAAAAACTGTAGTGGTAAAGAGTGAAGCAGGTAAGAATGAAGTGAGAGCATTAAAAGAAAGTAATTATTTTATGTGAAAGAGTACAAAACAAAGGGATTGTGTTGGAAAATAGATAAACCATTTTATCAAGTATGGGATTGTTGTTTAATAAATGAAATGATGGAGTTAGAATAGATGTACAAAAACGTTTTGTAAAAAGCATTCTTTGTTGATGTCATGGTGATGCACTTATTCTAATTGCATGGGTCAACCTTTCTATTGTGAAGGTCATCCTTTAAAACGTAAAAAGGAACTTTATAGATTTCAGAGTCAGTACAATACAATCAAATTCAGAACACATCAAACAACAACCAACTATCAGACAACAACTTGCTACAGCATTTAAGTAGATGAAATTAAATCCTCCTCAGACAGACATTTCCTATTATTGTTTTTATTAATTTTTTATTATCCTCTTGCCATTGATACCGCCACCAACTTTAACCAATGTAGCCCAAAAGTGGTCGGCATATACTAGTAAATTATCTTATGCATCCTCCAATTGAAGCCCTATTGGCTTCTTTTCTGTGCGAACTTCAGATGGGCTTCTTTTCGAGATGGGCTTCTTTTCGAGACAGACTTCTTTTCGAGACTACTGTACTTTTACAAAGTAAAGAGGGGGACTTCTTTTCAAAATGAATGCTGTAAATTTTGTGAATTTGTTCTATAAAACAATAAATAAGGCCACTGTAACGTCAAACTGTATCATGGAGTGTATTTAACTGGTATAAATCACCTAAACTACTGTATAAACCAAGCTTGTATTTAATTTATTTTGTATCCTGAAATTAATGTACAGTGATGTGACTGTAATATCTCGAAAAGAAGCCCATGGGCTTTTTTTTAAGATGGGCTTCTTTTCGAGGCTAATTTTGCAAACTAAAAAGGGGGGGGGGGCTACAATTCGACATATCACAGGTTTATTACGTAACTTGAAAGTGGACATTGTTAGGTGTCATGTTCTAAAAAAATATCTGAAAAGTTAATCATTTGGTTGAATGATGTGTTTACATATGTTTGAGAGGAGGATGATGAGAAAAATAGGCCATAGCTATGCTGTCATCAACGACACATCCATACAAAAGATTTCCCTGCATGTTTAATGAGATTGTATACCTAGTAATCTTTCTTTTGATTAGCAAAATAAATTAATATTGTGTTTTGCGTTCTATGCTTTAATCTTTGGAAATAGCACCACTTGTGGCAACAGTGGTTTAGGACCTGAATAGCGACCCCATGGCCATCGATTTCTTTTCTATTTTTCTTTAACATCAAGCACGTTATAAAAACCTCGAAATATTTGGTCCGGTGATGCTTATAACCTGCTTCCACCTATTATTACTTCTTCCAACAACGTCAACTGACAACAGTAAGGAATTCCCATCACCAAGTGATATGCATTCAGCATTTTATTCCCATTTGCTGCGATTTCTTCCAACGAACGAACCAACGAAACCCGGAATTTATAAACAATCATTAAACACCGTTTTTTCAATCTGTTTCTTATTGAAATATGGCAATGTATCTTCAAATTGTAGTGCGTCAGCAAACTTATATATATCCTTCATGTGTTTGTATTTTTCCCTACTTAATATAAATAACATAGGCTACAATATATAAAAATAGGCCTATACTTCATTACTCATAAATTTGCCAGACGGGTTCATTGAAATTGCATTTCATGAAAACATGCCAGCTATTAATAGCTATAAGGGAAACGCGACACAGCTAAAGTGCGTGCCCATCAGGCCTACCATGGGGACAAGTAAAGTAATCTAGTCTTACGGCACTATCCATTGCAAAAATAATTCTAATTACCGAAACAAAAGAAATTCCTTTATGGCCTCGACTTTTTACATCTTGGCAATTATTCGAATGGGATTTAATTTATATCAATAAAAATTTAAGGTCGTTATGGCGCGTGTTGATCATCACGCTCATAGGCCTATGGTGTTCCCGAATCACTTTGTTCTGTATTTCACTCGTTATAAAGTCTTAATTTACTCATCCTTAATGTAGGCCCCTACTTATTTCCCAAATGATAGGCCTGTAGTTTGAGGCTCAATTCTATGATCTTCGCAACCACTTTGTCCTCTACTGTAACGTCCAATGAGCTATAACTAGGCCTATGCAAGACCACACAACATTCCATTATAAAATTATCGAACCTAAATCTTTAAATAATAATATCACCCATTCACTAGACCATTGTTTATTCCTTTTAATTTTTGAAGCTGTTTATTTGAGTAAAATAACGAAGCCTGGTAATTTGCGAGCTGTGACAGCGATCAACAAAATACCTCTTTAGATATGATTAAGCACCAAGACAACCAAAATAAAGTATGATATAATTATTATATTGGAGGTTGTGTGTATCTTATCTGGCTGTGCTAAAAGTGACATTTTAACAACAGAACTGTTCTCATCAGCGGTTGTATGATGATGGTTTTTTTTTGTTTTTTTTTTAGTACTATCTGAAACACTCGGGACGTTTTACCCCCGATCGTTAAATGATAGGCATATCACAACGAATGTCTGAAAGTGTTTTATGATCATGATTTAATAATTGTTAATAAGTGTAGGACTGCTATACGTTATTAGTCCAATTGCCATAAAACGGGTCGTGGCAAAAAGAAATCCAAGATGATGCTTTATCAACTAGCAAGTATATCACAAATTAAATCTCCACTATCTTTAAACGTCAGGCTTTAAGTGTCTGTTGTTACAGGTACCATACCAAGAAGTGACTTAATACCGATTTCCTGTCACTCAAATTATCCGTGGGCTAAACATTTCCTTTCAACAAAGGCAACACCAATTACTATCGGAAGCCTCGCGTTCCTTTTATGTAACATTAGGGTTTATCTTCGCTTCCTCCCGTAAATAAAGATATTGGTAGCGGATTTTAAAAGTCTGGATCCATAAGATATAAAATAAACCTTCTTTTTGTTTGTTTGTTGTTTTGTTTTGTTGTTTTTTTTTTTTGGCTAACGTGGAAATAATTCATCCGTACTAATGAGGTTTGCCATTTGTTTTGATAACACATAGGCTAATTTAAATATAACAGGCTGCCGTACGGTATATAACGACTAGTGCTCATGTGAACAGTATCCTACGTGAAAATTACCTATTTTTTGTTTTATTTCCCTACTGGATGTAGGCCTACCATGTATAAAGATAGTTGAAATAAGTTGTATTTTACAGTACCAAAAATACAGCCATATGCTCCATAAATCTAGTAAAATTCGAACCAATCAATGACCGTTTTAAAGTTTGCCAGGTCGGCCTGACAATTTTGTAAAACGAACAAAGCCGTAGACCACATTGTAGTCTAAATAAGAAAGATAAGGATATGAGGATAACGAATCCTCGTTAAGTTACGAAATACAGATTGTGAAAGGAATGTTTCGTTAACCAGCATTTCTCTGATTTTCAATCAACCAAAACCGAGCATAACATAAATTCAAAGTACTTTATGTAGGCCTACTGGTACATCACATTAAAATTTGTTTTACATCGTATAGCATGCCTCAACAATCTAAACGTATTTTTTATATCTTTCATAGTGCTTTAAAGTCAGGCTCCGGAAGAAAAAATGTGTTGATATCTGCTAAATGGGACGCATTTCTTCCACCCGGTTTTCCTCCTCCCGGTTTTCCCCCAGTTTTTAACTATTCAAAAATCTGCATTTTCATTACACCGTTCCCGAGTTTTTCGTCAAGTATGCTTTTTGTGTAGTAGAAAAAATCAGTTGCACCAGATAGTCCTATCAATTTTCCTCCGGCGCCTGACTTTAAATACAAAGCTATACGTAAACCATGGAGGAACTCCAGGAGTATTCTTGGTTCCGCGTATCCCAAAGGTCGTCGTCAGGCAGCATGACAGGCCGATATATATCTGACCTATATTTACTATATAACCAACTTATTAAAACTGCCCTTGAATATTGGATAGTCTTCTAGGGTGCACTGGAACGGTCACCCTCTATAAATATGGTTTTTAAATGGTCTATAATATAATATGTTATTGCGAACCGTTATTATTTTCGTCTATGAGAGTATCACTAATTGATTACACATTAATAAGCTGGTCTGTATTATTCTTGGATCATTCATCAAGCACTATGTCTTCAGAGAATCTTTCATTATTAAAATTACATCGAAAGTTGCTTCGTTTCTTAAATAAACAAGGCATACTTAATCAACAATGGACATTTTTTAGTCAGTTATAAACACAATGAAAGTTAAAAAGAACTGTTGATGAGTCACAATATCAATGTAGACTGTCTAATGTGCGTGTTGTCACGGTTGCCAATTTATTTTGCAGATACTAAGTAGACACATAAAATAATGTATAGTTTCTGTGATTAACTGAAAGAAAACGTATATTTAGCCGGTAGTACACATATTTGTGTATATACAGGACGCATACACTTTGATAAGAAAATGCGGGCTCAAAATTAAATACCCAGTTCTTGGGAAGATAAATTACTGTATAACCATGATACGTACACTTGAATCCCGCCCTCTATGGTGTGATACATTTTCCTACTTTTCATCCTCCTGTATCTGTATTCACATGGGCTACATAGAAACACACACACACACATAGGCCTATTATTACTGTTTATTCAAGCAGTTTGTAAAAAATGGTTATAATGAAATAATATATAAAATATTGCATCAAATAAAGACAGTATAATACATACTCCAAGTATCGAAATGCACGCCATCGTGCCGAGATTCAATATTTCGACATTCATTATGTCATCATCAGGAATGATGATGACATATTGCATAATAATATTGCATCTTCAATAGCTCTATCAAAACTGAAATGTGAATTAATCCTGTGTGTAAACACGGGATCAAGATAATAAAATAATAAAATACTTTATCCAAACGGTTTGAACTTTATTTTTCGATGACGTGAGTCATATTATTGAGATATTCGCCATATCATTGTGATTATAATGATGACCGGTAGCCTATAGCTAACCTTAAACTGTTGGGATTCGTCACTCACTAAGCCTAATTCGCAAGACCGTGGGCCTACACAATGTCGCAGGAGGGTAAAATGATGACCTTACCCACGTTTATATAAGTTGCTTGAACTAAATCTTAAGTTTCATAATCACTCTTCACAGTAACTCTTATTATTTCATGTAAATCTACTATTATACAATGTAGGCCAATGTTTTTTTAAATACCAAATGCCAGATAGGCGCCGTTTATATTTAGCAGACGATAAATCAAGTGTCATTTTAAAACAATGGCGGGAAACATGAATCAACAAGGAAATCGTCGATTGATATCAAAAGTAAGTTGTAGAGCGTGCGTTGATGAAGGAAGACTTCTTACAACGAATCAATCCCTCGAGTATCTTGTCATTTAATTGTCATTGTGCCCAATGAAAACGAAGATACAATTTTCAAAATTGCTTGACAACACATACCAACATTATAAGGTCTTTCCAGTGGGGTTTTGTGAGCTAGACTTATTACAAGTTACTTTTAACCTCATCACGAATACACAAGTCATGTGAATATCGTTTTGGCAGTAAAGGTGAAGTTAGTCGTACTAAAATTTTACGTTAGTGTACTACTACATTACGGCATAATGATTAGAAAAATAACTTGTAGAAAATAAATTTGTATTATATAGGTATTTATATGATATACCAGGCCTACTAAAAAAGATGCTATCTTATTGGAGGTGAACAGTAAAAGCTACAAACCGTCATTTCAATTTGTTGTTTCAAACCAATGTCGTCTAGAAATTCTGATTGAATTGAAAAAAAAAAGAATTTACCAACTAAAACATGATTATTTGGCATTTCTTATTCCTCCATGATACACATGCTTTAATGTTTTTAATAGATGCGATTCTTTGGTATCCCTAAACAATCAAGATTAATTTGGCAGTGTTTGAGGCATACATTGCACTGTATGTAATTAATATGTCCATTCTTGATAGAGAGACCTACCGACTACCGTATGCAATGTGTGTGTAGAGAGACGTCATTAATCACCCCACTGACCCGATATTTCCCCTCACCCCATCCATCTTGTATTTTCTGACGTCGTAATATTACACATGACCCTTGCTTATGAGGCATTCATTAGTTAACACAACTTTTGTTACATAGCTGTGTTTACAGATTTTTTAAAATTGTGATAAAACAAATACGATCTCTGCTAAGTAATGTAAACCGTACATTTTTGTTTGTGTAGAGCTTTGTGTGTGGGGGTGGGGGAGGGGTGTTTGTATGTCGTGTTTATGTGTTGATGTGTGCTGGAAGTTGGATAAACACATCACTCATTATTATTCGGCTTATAGTTATGTCGAGTCATTGCAGACTGAGATGTGAACTTCGTGTTTTGTGTGACGAATTTATATCATGTAGTCCTAGTCCCAATACAGTGTACTGTCATTCTCATGCGTGATTTTTTCGATCACTTGTAGCATTTTCATGGCATTCTCCTGTCTGTTATAATTGAAATTCTAAAGCACTTGTCAAATTAAAAGAGATAATTACCCTTTCCCTATGATGTCACCTGCACGTCCGTTCATCGTAGTTTCAACTACTGTACCTAGGCCTATATTAATTTGTTATATCTATAAACAGTATTTCTTGATCAATAGATTAACAGAAATAATGGAGATTACGTTAACCCTACTGGAATTTGTATCCACTATCGAAATTTGAAACACACAAACCCCCGGGCTAATGATTGCTTTATTGTTGTGAGTTATTAAAATCTTTGAAAGCGAATGCGTCGCCAATAATACAACAGCAGTATAATTACCAGTTATGAATACACCACGCCGTAATAAGCAATTCCTATACGTAATCAAACGAAGTTAAAAGGGAAGTGATTTCACAGCACTTTGTATGCTTTGCTCAATGTGGATGTTTTTTTAAGTGATTCTGATTTTTCAGTGGCCTAGAGAGGGTCAAGCGATTACCAGTGACGCGTATATTTAAAACTCAAACAGAACAAGTATTATTTCTTAATGCAATTATATACATGAGCGATTAAATTAAATCCAATACCGTATTAATTGATAAATTGTTTTGTGCAGCATTGAACTGAAGCCGAAAACTGAAAACTTTTGTCTATAAATAAA